ACAACTGTTCAGAATCAAGAATATGATCTCGCAGTAAGATTCGCCACATACAATGACGCAAATGCGCACACTGACAAGTGTCGTATGTGCTGAGGGAACTCGACGGGCTAGGGCCACTCATTCGCTTGACGATGTGTGATGCATCCTCGCAAAGAATTACATATTCAGATAATTGAAGCGGCATCTATGACCTCGTCCTTCAATTGCGTCCAGCAGGTGTGTGCCAGGTTCTGCAACGCAGGGAGTCGGCCGCGAAGAGGACAGCATCATCACTCCACATACAGCCTCGTTCCGCGAGCAGGCCACAGCATGTAGGACCCATGCGGCGCAACTATGACCAATAATGGGTCTTCAATCTCGTAGAAACGGTTCTGATTGTCTCAAATGGGTGCCCATTCTAATGTAGGGCCACGTTGGCTAATAAATACAAGTAATTTTCATTCGAACAAGTAATATGCGAGACATCAATAGTCTACTAAGGCGAAGAAGGGGGGACACGGTCGAAGTAGACCCACTGACCCGGGCGAGGCTTCTCTTCCAGTTCCTCCCACCTGTAGATTATTAGGTATCAGCTCCCCGAGTAGTAGGGTGGGTGCAGAAACTTACACTTTAGACTTGTACATTTCGTCGACAAGCTTCAGCTCATTTTCGGCGACCTGGATGACCTCCTCAATCAGACCAGCACCGATCTGCTTCTCAATCTCGGCAACCCTGCGATCTATGGTCAGTTGACCTGCTAGTGACCGCAGAATAAGGGCGTAGCTCGACGTACTGTTCTGCCTCGAGAGCTGGCTCATTCTCCCACTTCATTTGTTCGGTAGCAAAGTCTGAATCTTTGGCCTGTGTCGTGGCAGTCGCTTCTTCAATAGCTTTGTGCCACCGTGCTTCTTCTTCCGCTGTACGAGCAGGTCCCTCCGTGGTTGGCTCCAGGGCTTCACCATCCCACTCCTCGCCACGGGGATTGTCGGTTCCATCATTGCGCATAAATCCCGCGTAAGTTCCATCGGCGAGGCGTAGAGAAGCGAAGCGCTCGGGTTCGGCACTGACAGCCTTCTTCACGCGCTCTAGCCAAGCATCATAACCTGGGGGCTTAACGGACTCGACGATCTGCAGGCGGTGGCGTGTCAGTGCTTCGGTGGATTGCCGGTAGACAGACGACTCTGGGAAGCTCTTCAAGTTCTCCAAGGTGGTCCTGTAGAGGTGAATTAGGGTGGGACGAGGGCTGGGGTGGGTGACAAGGCCGGTCAAGCCGGTAGGAGCAAAGGGCTCCAAGTACCGGGCCGACTTGACGTTGGCCAGCAACCGAAACGTGGATCTCATAGTGATGTGAGGATGTGTAGGAGATAGAAGAGAATTGGCCCAGAGGAATTCAGTATTCACCCTCAATGGCCAAGAGATTCGACAATAGCCGGACTATCTGGCTCTGCGGAGTGATCGCACGAACATTGAGGTTCCGTCGGTTAGCGGAGAAACAAAGACTCCGGGGCCTCATAATGCAGTAACCAGTCTGAGGTAGTCTAGTCCCTCCAGCGAATTAATTCATGGGGCCAGACTTGCGGTCTACTTGGACTTTATCAGCCAACGCGCTAAGGGGGCGTCGACACTCACCCGCCTTCTCATCCATTCTGAGGGTCAAATTCATCTCCCAGTTCGCAGTTCGCCGTTCAGTCTTCTCTGTTATAAGCATTTGCTTCTGTTGCACTGCTTATCGCGCTCTGACACTGCCTGCTGGTGGATTGAGCCGTTCGATAAACGTGGAGTTTGGACCAATGTGCCTACTGTGAAAACCTACTTGAACCCCTTCTTTTTCGACGATTTTCGACTTTCGTTTTCAGCCTCAAGCTATTGCTTTCAGGTCTTTGACCTTGACCGCCTGCCAGTATGAGGTCCTCTTTGCTGGCGTGGTCGCTCCTTTCGCTTCTCTCTATCCCAACTTTTGCCATTCCTTCCGGCGATATCGCGAATGATCTCAATCTTGCGAACAATCGCCTAGTCAAAAGAGCGGAACCGGTTGAAAAGACTGAGTCGGGGCCGGCGTCGACAACATTCAATGGCGTCGAGGTGCCGCCCCTGAAAGACTTGACAGCAGAGAATTTTGAGGAGCTTACCAAAAACGGTTACTGGTTTGTGGCTATTGTGCCCGTAGCATTTACCCTTGATATAGTATTATTAACAGGCAACAGGTTTGTGAAGCACTATTCTCCGTCATGTCCCCATTGCAAGGCGATCGCTCCCACATGGCAGACTCTATACGAATACTACTATGTGAGTACTCTATCCACGTTCGGCACGTTCGTACTTGGTCACTGTCTAACATGCGCTAGACATCGAAACCGATATCCTCTTCTTCCGAGCCCTCCGATACTCAATCACTTAACTCCTTCCAAAATTTTTACAACTTCCACTTCGCTTCGATGAACTGTCTTGCATTTTCGGATTTCTGCAAGAGACTGGATGTCAAATGGTTTCCGACATTTTCCCTTTACCATAATGGCAAACTGGTTGAACAGTTTGAGGGTGCTAAGACTATGGAAGGTCTAAGTGAGTTCGTTGAAGGCAAGCTAGAATCAATCCGACCTGGGTCTCGTCCTCCGAAAGGCGTAAAGCTTCCCGAGCCAGGCGACAAACAGGTAGACACGGAAGCTGCGCCGGACGTTCCAGCCGCCAAGGACAAGGACCGTGTGGCGGGAGTCAAGGCCGGTGAGAAGCATAATGAACAAGTCGCTCAGCTCGCCAGCGCAGAGGCTCCGATGAAATCTGCTACCCCTAAGGTGAACTCGAAACCATCCGCGCCTGCGAACCCTCAAGGGATCTCCGTTCCTCTTACAGCAGAGAGCTTCCAAAAGCTAGTCACGACTACCAGAGACCCCTGGTTCGTCAAGTTCTATGCTCCGTGGTGCCATCACTGCCAAGCGCTGGCGCCTGTTTGGCAGGGAATGGCCCGGGAGATGCAGCATGTTCTCAACGTTGGAGAGGTGAATTGCGACGCAGAGCCCAGGCTTTGCAAGGACGCTCGGGTGAACGCCTACCCGACAATGTACTTCTTCCGTGGCGGCGAACGCGTTGAATACACCGGTCTACGCGGTCTTGGCGATCTGGTCAACTACGCGAAGAAGGCTGTGGACATTGGATCTGGTGTTCAAGATGTCGACGCAGCTCAATTCAAAGAGCTGGAAGAAAAGGAAGAAGTGATCTTTCTGTACTTTTACGACCACGCAACGACCTCTGAAGATTTTGAGGCCTTGGAACGTTTGACTCTCAGCCTGGTGGGTCACGCCAGATTGGTCAAGACAAGCAGTGCGGCTCTTGCCGAGCGGTTCAAGATTACAACCTGGCCTCGTCTCTTAGTATCCCGAGATGGACGTCCCAGTTACTACAATGCTCTGGCTCCCAAGGATATGCGGGACGTCCGCCAGATTCTGAACTGGATGCGGTCCGTTTGGCTGCCTATTGTCCCTGAACTCACAGTCTCTAACGCCCGTGAGATCATGGACGGGAAATATGTCGTTCTCGGGATTCTGAGCCGGCGTCGCTCGGATGATTTCATCCTTGCCAAGAGAGAATTAAAGAGCGCCGCTCTGGAGTGGATGGACAAACAAACCCAGTTGTTCCGATTGGAGAGACAAGAACTTAGGGATGCTAAGCAGCTACGTATTGAGGAGGCAGAAGACCGCAATGACCAACGTGCATTGCGGGCTGCTAAGAACATGCGCATTTCCATCCGGGAGGATGACAAGAAGCAAGTTGGATTTGCCTGGGTTGATGGCGAGTTCTGGGAACGGTGGCTGAGGACCACTTTTGGTATCGATATCGAGAACGGTGAACGGGTCATCATTAACGACCAGGATGTAAGTATCATTCGAGAAGTGCAGTGTTTGCCATTACTGACCACATCTCCACAGAACCGACGCTATTGGGACGCCACTTCTAGTGGAGCTCCGATCATGGCCTCGCGAACCTCCATCCTCGAAACGATTCCGCTAGTCATTGCCGACTCGTCGAAGTTGAAGCCCAAGTCCACAGTCGGAACATTCGAATACATATTCTTCGTCACTCGGTCCTTTATTTCCGGCCATCCCATCATTTTCGTCGCATTGTTGACCATGAGCATCGTTGCCGTCACCTACTTGGCTCGAGCACGGCTAGCAAAGCGGGGTCTCAGTCGGGGTGGCATCCTCGGTGCGGTTCAGAGCAACAGTGCCGGCTTTTTCCGTCTCGATGGGAAGGAAGGTCTTTTGAATGGGGGCGGCACCGGAAAGGTCGATTAGATCGTCAGCATCAAGCGCATTGTACAGTTAGGTTTTGTTCCCCCGGTGTTGTTTTATTGCGTATCTCCATATTGGCTTTCTTGAATTTGCCATAATCACTAAATGGGTCTCTTCTTTTGACACGGACGATGCCTCTCTCATCTTCTTTTCCCTTATACAACCCATTTTCTTTTCTCATTGTTGACTTTGTTTGATTTTATTGAAGCGGTGTTGGCATGTGGTGCACTCTACAAAGGAAATCTGCTGTTGGATTTTGTCAATACACGGCGGGCAAAAGACACATAGACAGCTATGCAAATGAATACATGTCTGTTCCCTGTTAGCAGGGAGTAGATGGTGTGAAGTGTCAATCTCATATATTCATGAATGTCATCACGAAATAACTCGAGCTCGAGTAACTTGGGACAATCGATACTCTACGCACATCATATTCCTGCCATGTCTGCTTCTTCTTAGTTCAGATTCATAATGTCTTCTCAATATCCATCAATCTAGATCGTCTTGACTGTCTACCTCGCTACCTATTTAAAGAATCGGAAATCCAAAGCCTCTTATTTGACACCGTCATTGTCACGTGAGGGTTTTTGTGTCTGCTGATTGGCCGCGGGATTGCCGCAAGTTGCAACATCGGAGCCTCTCGGTTTTCGTCGAACAACCATTGCTCTCGTCGTTCATTCCATCGCTGGAGTATAGTCCTCGTGTCCAGTGTACTTATACACAACTAATAACAAGATGGTACGTGTTGTATGGAAACGATTTTTGCCGATTGAGTTTTCAGCATGCTTGCGAGGGGCCCATGGATGGTGCTTACCCGCATAACTACGGCCTTCGGCCTGCTATGCCATCCCGATGCTGTCGAAGAAGAGGGCAGAGTGTTCAATTGCTGATGAGTTCCTGCCTTTCTAGTTCTCGCAGACCCTCCGTCGCGCTGCGTCCCAGTCTACTGGCGCCTACCGCTCTCCTTTCGCTCCCAAGTGAGAACCCCCTCGAGAATCTACCCTACCTGGCATGTTACATGGAGGCATTTGGTATTCGGGCGAGGCCTATGGACTGCCCAGATCGTGGGTCAATCGTTTGCGCATTGACAACTGATCTGCCCCCCATTTATATGTCCGAACTGGTGATTTGATGGGCCTTCGTCATTCAAAAGCACAGCCTGGCTGTCGCAGAGAGACGAACAATGGAAACAGGGCTTTACTGACTGCGATGCTTGATGAAAATTAGGTACTATGTTCCTGCCCACTTCGGGGGTGTGAGCGTCAACATGGCCACCAAGTAGTGAGTCTCACCTTTGGTGTTTCTGTCAAGATGCTATATGGGCGGACAGGCTTCCGGAAACCCTACGCGCTCGTCTTATTACCGTTCCATTCTAACATACTTTGATCTGTAGCGCTACCATTGCTTCCACCTTCGGTGTTGCTGCTGGTACCTTCGCCCTCTTCTTCTTCGGTGAAGTGCCCCGCGTGCGCAACGACATCCTGCGCAAGGTTCCCTTCCTTGACGAGTACTTCGACCGCAGCATCCCTGCCGAGGACAACGTACGTACCTTTGAATCATGCTAGAGACTATTGTGACGATTTGCTGACCGTTCACTAGCCGTTCTAAACGTCTTGCAACTTCCGCGCCGTTTTCCCTGACCCGAAATGCCACTTGTATGGTTGGTCATCTTGCCTGCATTACTTGCTCAGTGGTGAAAACAAGGAATCGGTACTGTATTGTGTAGAATAGCGATGGGTTTTTGATAGCACATAGACACGCCTGGTCACCATCAAGATTTTCTCCTTCTCTGTCCTTCTTTGGCACCGAAATAAGGCTTAAATGACAAGCAACAGCAACATATGATTAGACTACGATCTGTTCGAATATCTCAGGGGTCCTAATATTACACTAGCACCAGCGACCTGAGTCTTTACTTGGAGGGCTTTTCTGCACGGGTAAGTTCAGCACCGACGCCACACTTATATAAAGGCATGTCCTGTCATCATCTGTCAAGTACCATTCCATCAAGCCTGTCATTCTTTTCCCACATAGGCAGGTGTAGCCTGACGAGCAGCTCAAGTCAAGCTACTTTTGCTCTAGAGAGAACGGGATGGTCCAATAAATCAGCGTCCTCCGGCCGCTTTGACTGCATTTCCCCAGAATCCAACGAAAACGAACAGGGGCGCTTATCTGGCACGCGTGTCTCTCTTCCTGTTATCAGCCACCGTGACTCTCTGGCAAGTCGAACGCAGATTATTCAACTCGAGTTATTGATAAGGGGATTTGCTCTGATCAAGTTTCTGGCTTGTTAGTCACCTGTTGACCTTGTCGAATCCCTGGGCTTTGTATCTATCCCCACCGCCTGAAGTTTCCTCCTCGAGTATAGACTCCTCGCCAAGCTTTCTCTTGAGTAGGATATCTACGAGGTCATCCATGCTTTTGAAGCGTTAAAGCAGCAGTAGGGCGGGGGATTTATTTCTTATTCGACATGACGCTCCAATATAACCCCGCCCCTTGCGGGTGCTGATCCCGTCGCAACTCTGATAGTCGAGCCCAGCGTGACCAATGTGTCAGCGTATCAGAAACTCTTCCCCTCATTCTCCCTAATCTTTCACGTTATCTCCCAGGTAGTTTGGTCTCACGATCGACAGCAATGGCCCAAGTGTCTGGTTTTGGTGCCAACGGGCGGGCTTTATCGTCGGCGTGGATGGTTATATCTACTGCTAGGCATCCTTGCTTTTTTTGTTGAGCGACCAAGCGTCAGCTCATGCAAGGTGCTATCATCGGAACTACATTTGCTGGTTACACAAAGGCTGGACTTGTCTGCTTTAATAAGGTAATGAGACGCCTTGGTCTCGTCCTTTCTGCTACCTCTGATTTCCATCGTGGACACGAGCAAGACCTGCAGGTAGCCTTGAAGTAGAGGCGATGTCGTCTACCAAGGTCGCTTCCAAACAGGCGGTTTATCAAGATGTCGACCACGATCCTGTCACGTCTGTCCTGCCGAACGGGGATATCCCGTACACGGATCATGAGATGGATTCGGATGAGCGGGTGATTGTGGCCCTGGGTTACAAGCAAGAATTCAAGCGAGAGTTCTCTTTGTGGACTACGTTCTGCGTCAGCTTCGCCGTGCTAGGGCTACTTCCCTCGTTCGCGAGCACTCTCTACTATGGTAATAAGACCCTGCTCTCCCATCACGGTGCATCTGCCCGGCGCTGACAGTGGCTTAAAGGAATGGGTTATGCGGGAACAGCAGGCATGGTCTGGGGATGGATCATCGCCATGGTCTTCATTCAGTGTGTGGCAATGGCAATGGCTGAACTATGTTCCGCAATGCCGACGAGGTGAGTCCGTGGGATTCTTGCTTGTATCGTCGATGAGACGGAATGACTTACCGGATTAGTGGTGGCTTGTACTACGCAGCGGCGGTCCTCGCACCTCCAGGGTACGGACCCTTTGCAGCCTGGCTGACAGGTTGGTCCAACTGGATTGGCCAAATCACGGCAGCGCCGTCGGTAGACTTTGCTTTGGCGGCGATGATTCTGGCTGCTGCGTCGATTTCCAACCCGGACTATGTCCCAACCAGCTGGCAGACCTTCCTGCTCACGACGCTGATTATGATTATCCACAGCTTCATCAGTAGCATGCCGACGAAATGGGTCGCGAGGTTCAATTCATACGGTTCAACCTTCAACATGATGGCCCTCGTTGTCGTTCTCATTGCCATTCCTGCGGGTACGAAGAACGAACCAAAATTCAAGCCGTCAAAAGAGGTATGGGGCACCATTACCAACGGGACAGAGTTTCCGGACGGCGTAGCTGTGCTCATGGCCTTTGTCGGTGTCATCTGGACCATGTCAGGCTACGATTCTCCTTTCCATCTGAGCGAGGAATGCTCGAATGCAAACATCGCCTCGCCGCGTGCCATTGTGATGACCTCTGGTGTCGGCGGCCTCATGGGCTGGTTCCTGCAGCTGGTAGTCGCCTACACTGTCCTCGACATTGAGGCCGTAATTGACTCGGATCTCGGACAACCTTGGGCATCATACTTGCTACAAGTCATGCCGCGCAAGACAGCCATGGCCATTCTCGGACTGACCATTGTCTGCGGGTTCTCCATGGGTCAAGGCTGCATGGTTGCCGCATCGCGGGTGACCTACGCCTACGCTCGCGATGATTGCTTCCCCTTGTCACGGATCTGGAAGAAGGTCAACGAGAGGACCAAGACCCCTGTCAACGCCGTTATCCTCAACACTGTCCTGGGTATTCTGATGTGCCTTCTTATTCTAGCCGGCGACGTGGCCATCGGAGCCTTGTTTTCCATTGGCGCCATTGCACAGTTCGTCGCCTTTGCCATACCCATTTCAATTCGAGTGTTCTTCGTGGGGAACCGCTTCCAAAAGGGGCCATGGCACCTGGGGCCATTTGGTCCGGCGATTGGAGGGCTCGGCGTCTTGTTCGTGCTGTTGATGGTGCCCATTTTGTGCATGCCCAGCGTGAGAGGGGCGGATCTGACGCCTGACCAGATGAACTGGACTTGTCTGGTCTGGGGTGCGCCGATGCTGGCGGTGACTATCTGGTGGGTCATCGATGCACGCAGGTGGTTCAAGGGTCCCAAGATCAATGTGGAGCATGTTATCCATGGCGTGGAGGCGAACGTGGATGCGGGGGTGGAGGTGGAGGATCAACGGAGCCAAAGTCAAGATGCAGTGAGCAAGTCTCCGAGTATATAGTCTTCTGTTGGTAACTATAGCTACATGTAATTCCCCTACCACGCTTACAACTTGCGTGTAGCTGCGTGTCCTCCCTAATGAAATGCAGCGGCATACCAATTGAGTACAGTCTTTCATAAGAGCTTCCATGCGCTACCCAACTGCCTGTTGGTCTTCAAAAGGGCAGTGAGATTCATATATATATATAAATATCTCCCTCTCAATAAGGCAGCGACTCGAACTGTCTTGGATCCCCAATAAGTAGAGCCATGTCCAGAAGACAAAGTCACTCAAGAACATTGTTCCTACGCTCACTACAAGATCAGAACAAGACTTCCTCAGAATATATATATCTTCCATTCCTGCGTTTTAATACCACTGTCTTCTCTAGTCTCAGCGCTGAATTGCCCGAGGATACGGGATTCTGAGGCCACTTCATCTTAACTCAAGGTCCCACCCAGATCCCGCTGGCCACTGGGAGTATAGGATGAGCTTAGCAATAACATGCATGACTGATTCTGCCGACTATTCCACTGACTTGATGCAGCCTGCAAGCTCCACTCCATCATGGAAGCATCTGATATCTGCAACTCGTGCGATGGCTGCGTCGATAGGTGCTCGAAACCCCACATACCGCAGGCACCGTAGTTAAACTAAAGGAGTCTAGACTGCAGCGGATGGATCGCATATCAAGTCGAGTCAATCATAGGTCTGGAATAGAGATATTGCTTTCAACTACGGAGTATGAATCTCATGAAGGCCATTGATTGTTTCTGATGTTCCCGTCCGTACCGTGTCTCTGTCTGTAAAGTAATCAGGTCTGATAAATATAGTAACCTCCCTGTCTATTCTGTATCAGATCTATCTTCATTTAATGGGGATATTCAGGGGCAGGCAATCCGGTGATACTACCTCACCTGCTGTTGATTTCACAAGGGACATTACCTACAGATTACAAAGCTTTATTCCGTGATTATCCTGCCGAAAACCCAGCCGACAGTAACTCGGTCCATAGCACATGCAATGAGGCAGACTGCTAGTACTATCCTCTCACTGAAAGCCCGACAACCACATGCTCGGGCTACATGGTACAGCCACAGCCTACAAGCTATCGTGGGGGCCATTGCAATACACGTTCAAGTATCCAACCATGGGGCTCAATGAGGTTATCCAGACTAGGAAAGTATAATTTTGCCCACGGCGTGTAGTTTACTCGATTTGTCGATCATTGCGCCATTTCGGTCTCAGGATTGACAGGGGTTCTGCAGATAATAATACCTGCGTTATTGTTACGACCTAGAGGGGTAGACGAGGACTTTCCTTCAGGTTATTAGCATCTTGCGACTCGACTTTGTCGGATCACGGTGTGAAAAGGGGCCATAGTAGTTGTACGGCGGAGCTTGATATATTGGGGCATTCTCTTAGAAATGTCTGTATCTAACCCCTACTCCTTAATCTCGACCCCTTAATGTCCAAGGACAGAGAGAGTGCAAGTGCACGGCCACTCAGAGGCCCTGAGGGGCTGCGCGGTACGGAGTACCTTCTTCGTTTCTCTTACTTTATGACGCGGCTAGAAGTGATAAGAGGCGGCTGAGACCGATGAATCTGATACACTAGAACACTATGAATCCCTCGTATGCTTCTAAATGCTGATTGCTGACCCCTGTATCAAGATGATCTACAGAGTACAAACTGTAGATTGTTACAGATCCTGTAAACAATGACGTTGGCGGGGCTCGCTCCGTCGCAGACAAGTCCCTCCAAGCATAAGCAATATGAAGATAAGCTGATTACTCAGCTACGCAGGCAAGATCCCCCAAGATCAGCTAAACACCCTTAGAAGTTAGTGCTAGCCCAGAGCCGATACTACCTCCCTCAACAAATCAGACAAATTCAGCGCGCACAACTACC